CTGGTCCTTTAAGCTTTCAACACTAGATGGAGCCTGAACATAACAGCTCTGTGGAAACACACAGATGGTTTTCAAAGATCAGCACTTGTTTCAACTCTGGATACTACAAACCAGAATGGGACTATTTGCCACCGCCAAATCACCATGACCAACACACCATGGTCAACTTGCCGTGGCCAATTCACCATGGCCAACTCTATTATTCTGTTCTGTTAAAACCTAGTACCGCTTTATAAAACCCTAGTAAGACCACACCTGGAATACTGCAGCCAATTTTGGTCACCATACCACAAAAAAAGATGTTGAGAGTCTGGAAAAAATTCAGAGAAGAGCAACAAAGATGATCAAAGCCCTGGAGGCCAAAGCATACAAAGAATGGCTGCAGGACTTGGGTTTGGCCAGTCTAAAGAAAAGAAGAAATCAGGGAGACATAGTAGCAGTATTCCAGTATCTGAGGGGCTGCCACAAAGAAGAGGGGGTCATGTTATTCTCCAAGGCACCAGATGGAAGGACAAGAAACAATGGTTGGAAACTGATCAAAGAGAGAAGCAACCTGGAATTAAGGAGAAACTTCCTGACAGTGAGGAGAATCAACCAGTGGAACATCTTGCCCCCAGAAATCGTGGGCGCTCCATTACTGGAAGTTTTTAAAAAGAGATTGGACAATCACCTGTATGAGATGGTATAGGTTCTCCTGCTTGAGCAGGGGGCTGGACCAGAGAACCTCCAAGGTCACTTCCAGCTTTGCTTCTACTCTACTCTACTCTACTCTACTCTACTCTACTCTACTCTACTCTACTCTACTCTACTCTACTCTACTCTACTCTACTCTATTCTATTCTATGCTTGACTATGTCCATATGATAGAGGCAGTGTAGAATCGATTGTCCACATTTTACTCTACTGTTGTTGTCATACAGATACGAAAAGCCCCTTTGTTTCTCCTCGCCTGATAACATAGCCAAGATATTCTGATATTTTCTACATGCAAATTATGCTTTCCAGTCCAAGAGAGTCTACGTC